CAGGAATGGCCAGGGCAGCAAAGAGCGGAGCTCCAGCACCGGGTGCGGAATAAAGGCGCCTTCATGGAGCGCACAATGGGCAGCTCAGAGCAGGGCCAGGACAGCTGCAAGCAGGGAGCCCACTCCAAGGTAACTCAGAGGGACAGAGGGGAAAAAAAATTATTAAAAAATGGCTATTTGGGTGCAAGAAAAGGGATCCTTCTGCTCCAGTGTGGGTGGGAGGCAGTGGGGTCCTCCCAGGTGGGACAGGGACCAGGAGCCCCACTGTGCCTTCCTCTATCCCACAGACACTGCAGCTGGAGGCTCCATGTGAGAGTGGATGCACCAGAGGGGGAAAAGGGCTGTTAAAGCAACGCACCAAAACACATTTCATTCTTGCCTAAAGCAAGAAAATTGATGCTTCCACTTAAACAAACCATTTGGGGAGGCTGATGAGCAGGAGGTCTTCACCTTGAGCAGAAGCCAAATTACCTTCATTGCACTGAAGAGTAAGGCATAAAAACCTAGATAGACTGGAAGCAAACAACCAAAATATTTAAAAACTCCTTCCCTGAGCAAGCTGAATTTTCATCTTCAGCTCAACTCCTCCTCCTCTCCTCAGGAGGAGATGGCCAGCCACTACTTTGCAAAGGAAACTGTGCTGGCCATAAATACGGACTGGAATGAGCATGATTTGCAAAACAGATGTTCTGGGGGGAGAAGAAAGCGTGAGAGGGAGAAAAATAAATCCACTCCACATTCCTCCCAGGTCTCCGTCCCCAGCTCCCCCTCCCCTCCGTGCTCGCAGTGAGGAGCCTGCCAAAGCCCACACCTCCTGCCCTGTGACAACAGAGCTGGGCACCAGGGAGCCTGTGATCCCGCCCAGCACACAGGCCAGGCCCTGGTGAGCCAAGGTGGCACCCACTGAGCCCCTCTCAGCACCACCACCCCAAGCCCACCAGCATGACCAGTGTCCCAGCACGTGCCACAGGGGCTCAACGCACACACGGGCACGGGGCAGCTGCTGCCCCCAGTTACTGTTTTGGCCACTTTTGGCTGTTTGCCTCTCTCAGGGGGTAAACTGTCAGCCAGCTGAGCATCCCGTCTTTGCCCCACCATCCCTCCCAGTTGACTCAGCTCTCAAGTCACCACTTGGCCAGAGCACATTGCAGCTCCAGAGCCACTCTGCCCAGAACAGCCCAGCCTGTGTCCTCAGCAGGACCCCCCAAAGCACCAGCACAAAGTCTCATGGCTCCACGCTGGAAGATCATCCAAGTTGCCCAATTAACCAAAAACAAAAATAAGAATCACCTTATACTTTTGTTTTTCTCCTCCACATCATCCATCAATTCTCTTGAATTTCAGAGAAAATGTGATTTGTTCCTTTTCTGTGCTTTCAAGACTCTTCAGATTTCCCAGTGTTTCTCTGCAGCCATGGGACAAACACCAGGAAAATATAAACCATGGAGGCAAATACCCCTCAGCTCTTACGTGCTCCCTCGGTCCAGGGTCTGAGGCTTGGTACAGAAGCCATGAGGCTGATGCTTAAAACCCCAAATCCCAGCAGGGACAAAGTGCAGAATTTGCAAGCTGATGACTAATGCAAATGTGAGGGGTCCTTTGGCTCCAACAAGGGTGATACGGACATTTAAAATAACAAAACCTGAAGCTTGTAGGCACATTTTTTTCAAGAGGAAGAGGAAAGAAAGGCTTATTTGTTTGTTTTGCGTTTAAATACAAGACCTCTAAACCGTTCAAATGTATTTTTGCAATTCTTCCATCCGGCCCCCTCTGTTGGGAAGATTCAAACCAGACCCAGGGCTCCATCCCAGCCACTGCATCCATGAACACTGCCGCTGTGCGCTCCTGTGCTCCCGGCCATTCCCACTCCCGGTCATTCCCACCAGAGAAGCCGCAGGTATGTGCGGCTGGGCTGGGGGGGAGGGGCCCCCACAATCACTAAATAAATATTGACGCTAAAATAAATTCCACCCCCTTCTCTTTA